GAAGGTGCAGGAATTGGATCTGATCTGAGGTGTGAAGGTGCAGGAATTGGGGCTGATCTGAGGTGTGATGGTGCAGGAATTGGGGCTGATCTGACGTGTGAAGGTGCAGGACATGGGGGTGATCTGAGGTGTGAAGGTGCAGAAAATGGGGGTGATCTGAGGTGTGAAGGTGCAGGAATTGGGGCTGATCTGACGTGTGAAGGTACAGGAATTGGGGTGATCTGAGGTGTGAAGGTGCAGGAATTGGGGCTAATCTGAGCGGTGAAGGTGCAGGAATTGGGGTGATCTGAGGGGTGAAGGTGCAGGAATTGGGGTGATCTGAGGGGTGAAGGTGCAGGAATTGGAGTGATCTGAGGTGTGAAGGTGCAGGAATTGGGGTGATCTGAGGTGTGAAGGTGCAGGAATTGGGGCTAATCTGAGGTGTGAAGGTGCAGGAATTGGGGTGATCTGAGGTGTGAAGGTGCAGGAATTGGGGCTAATCTGAGGTGTGAAGGTACAGGAATTGGGGTGATCTGAGGTGTGAAGGTGCAGGATTTGGGGTGATCTGATGTGTGAAGGTGCAGGAGTTGAGGTGATCTGAGGTGTGAAGGTGCAGGAATTGGAGTGATCTGAGGTGTGAAGGTGCAGGAATTGGGGCTAATCTGACGTGTGAAGGTGCAGGAATCAGGGGCTGATCTGAGGTCTACTGTATGCTATCGTTCACTAGCACATCGATTTTCTAATGCTTGTAAATTGACACATAATGTAGAAAACGCAGCAGTCCTGCATTGTATGCAGGGATGCTGAGAGTCCTCACACATTTTAGGGCCAGAGTGAGTGCCAGCTGTTGGGGGGTGAGTAATAATGTAACTATTCTACTACGTATGAAGCTAAAAATGTGTAGGGGTCCCAAGACATATGCCACCTCCCCCTGATATAGAACATGTCAAATTGGTAAATTAAAGGGGCTTTCAAAGATGGCAAAAACCAGACATCTTAAAACATCATAAAAACAAAACAAAAACACAGAATTGTTTGACAACCATATCGGACACTCTAATTGCTAGACTTAAATGTTATATTCCTCATAGATTTACCACCCATAGGGGTACAATAGATAATTCCTTATGTCTCACAAAGTTTTCATCAGGATAGTTGTAATTGATCACGCTTTGTGGTAGTCCAACCTTTGACGTGTTTCACACTAAAGCTTCTTCAGGAAGGTGAGGAAATTTGCTAGCATAATACAGTAGATATCATACGATGGTCATACAAAGTGTTCAGGTTGTCCCAAGGGATAGTGTGTTGCTGTTGCCAATGCAGTTTGGAAAGTCTGGACTGGTCTTGTCCTTTGTGTTTGTTCCATATCAATGATACATCAGCAATGAAGCCAAGATGTGGATGATAGCACTGGCACCTTTAAAATCCAACTCATCGATAGCAGCTTTCATATGCCTATTCTCACAGGTTTCCTTTAACCTCCACAGAAAACCTGAGAGCTGGTGAAGTCCAGACCCAGCTTTGGGCAGGCCTTCTCTCCCATATATTAACAGGATTAAATACATGTTTAAAGAGGCACTTCTCCCCCAACAAACACTCCACACGGCTAATGTGTGAGAGCCATATCACATATTCCCACAGCCCTAGGCTCTTCCATGGAGTCAATTAGCTAATAGCTGTACATCACTGTACTTAGGCCTTGTAAGTAAGTGAAAGCAACTCAATGCTTTAATAAAGACACAAACGATATGTAGCATAACAGTATGGTGGAAAGCACCATTTCCTTAAAATGATGCACCATAGGTTGCATCCTCATCAACTTAGTTTTATTTGCTTTGTTTGCTTGGGTTTCATCTGTATGCTCTACTTTTGTCTAGCAATCCAAAGTGTAGTAGTAGTTAAATCAGTTTCGACCCAAACTGACCCAATTTACCACTAGTGCAGACATTAGACTGGAGCTCAATTGGAACCAGGACTGAAGCAAAGGGTTTGGTGTCTTCAAAATTCTCTACTTTCTTCTTTTTTGTAGCAGAATATCTCTGATATGAATGTGGTATCTTCAAATCTTAATAACAATTGTATTATGATAAAACACAACATAACAAGAGTATGCTTTTGGTTCATTTTAGGAGGATCTGCCCGTGTTTGAAAATTTTCTACCGAGGATCGCAAGGAAACCCAATCCAGACAGGTTCTACGGCTTAATGGGAAAAAGGAACAATGGTAAGATCATATTGTGCTCTTTGAGAAAAAGTTCAAGGCTAGCATTGCTGGACTTCTTTAAAACTCAACTCAGGTGTAAACAAGAACTAGAAGTAGTCCCAAAACTGTATTGAGAACCTGGGGACACTACAGGAGGTTAGAAGAGAGAGGGTTCAATCTTAGAATTTGCAAGGGGTATTTCACAGTGAGAGTGGTGAAAGTTTGGAATTCCCTACCTCAGGTGGTGGTATCTGCGGATAACATTGATACATTTAAGAAACTTCTGGATGAGTTTCTTCTTGCACAGAACCTACATGGATATGGGAAGTGTCAGAGTAAGATAAATACACACACACAAACACACTCACATACATAGGTTGAACTGGATGGACCTTGGTCTTTTGTCAACCTTACATACTATGTAACAAGGACTAACTCTACTCCTACCTGCCAATATCACAACCACATCGGTGCCAATCAATTTTTGCAGAGCTCTCCTCAGCTGTCAATGTTAGGGACTGTAGCTGGTAGCAATCATTTTAAAGCAACTTGTGTTTTTCCTAAGAAGAAGAAAGCAACAGATTCACTTGATTGTCCCTCTCCCCAGATACTCTCCACCACTCCATTCATCCCCCAAGACTGAAGAAATAATCCCTGCGTAAGCTACAAATGGCCCTAGTCCAAGCTTGCACAGGGATAGGGACTTTCTTTCCACCCCCGTGTGATAGTGCTGGGCCAATCATCAAGTACTACTGTAGCTGTCATTTGAAGGGAAGGGGAGCTAATCACATGCTCCTCTGTACCCAGGAGTACTGGTCATTGTCTTCACACCCGGTGGCTTTACAGGGTGGTGGGAGAGCCAAGAAAATGAAAGTAGTTGCTGCTCTAATGAAAAGCATTCAAGAGAACCTGTTGCTTTACCTTGCATAGGTTTACTTTTAAGCCTACTCGGCTTTGTAGGCTTAACCAACCTGAGGATGACTGCAGCCTCTGTAACAACCACTTATGTTCTATGTAAGGTGATCACCTTTCCATAGGCAGGGCAGTAACTACAGTTAAATACACACCCCATGTTTGATGGGGCCCCATAACAAAACCATTAAGGGACCTCCCTATCTTTCTTCTTTCCATCTCAAAGGCAGTTCCTCTAATGATACAGAATACTTAATGTTTTCATAGAAATTGTATAGTGTTTCTTAAATGTTAACTACATTTGCCAAATGCTATTACTACTTGCATACTATAAATCACCAGTGATGCGCTGAGCCCCCTGAGCTTCTGGGCCCCACAGCATTCTCATTATCTGCTATGGCTATAGTTACTCTCTTGCTTATAAGCCTCTTATGTATCAACTTCTTCTGAAGGTATCTCCCTACAGACACTAATCAGATCCAGGCTTTCCGGGCAGGTTTGATGCTGATTGGTGCATTAGGCTCTTTATCATCATGGAAGCTTTAATTATATATGTAGTCAAAACATTTTAATGTTTAGCTTTGGAAAAAGTAGGGAAGTGTTAAGATCCTTCTTGATTTATTTTTTCCTGCCTGTGTCTCCCGTTGGGGAGATTTTTCTTCACTTTCTATCTAGGAGATGACATCTCTACAAAAGGAGGGGACATCTCTTAGAGAGTTGTTAGCAGAACAAGTGTTCACATTGGAAGATTTCCCGTCCCGCATCTCTGGTGGCAACTGTAACATTTTGGATTTCCCATCAACTTATGACTCTGACAATGGTCACCAGTACAAATAAAGAGTGAAAGAGCAGTACAAGGGGTCAATTTAGTTGATGTGTTTATGGGAAGTATGCTATAGGAGAAGGGAGCAGAGTGACAGAGAAATTAGCTCATCACTGTGCCACTCCTTTTTCCACTATCCAGTCACAGGCTGGGGGCAGGTCCAGGAGAACCTGGGCTCAGATAAGTGGGTTGAATGATGCTGGCTATCAGGCTGAGGACATCAAGAAATACAAAAACATGGGGGGGGGGGAAGCATTCCCCCTCTCCTCTGTCTCCATTTACCTGTTTTCAGCATTTAGCATTTTCCATTTTATTCCACCAACAATTTTGGCAACCAGATCAAAGGAGAACCTGAGTACACACTATATGACCTAAAGTATGTGGACAACCCCTCCAAATGATTGAGTTTGGGTGTTCCCAGTGAAGGGTACTGTTTATGCTTCAGCAAGATAATTTAGACAATTTTGAGCTTCCAGCCCTGTGTTATCAGTATTGGGGAAGGCTCTTGTTTGTTCTAGCATGGCTGTGCCCTTGTGAACAAAGCCAAATCCATAAAGACATGGTATGATGAGCAACTCAAGTGGCCTGCACAGAGCCCTGATCTCATCCCTACTAAACACATTTGGGATGAAGTGTAATCCCAATTGTGAGCCAGATCTTCTCATCCAACACCAATACCTGACCTCACAAATGTTCTTATGGCTAAATGGGCACAAATTCCCACAGACATGCATAAATCCAGAAGGGTGGATGCTGTTATATAGTCAAGAGCAACTCCTTAATAATGATAATGGTCATGGTTTTGGAATGAGTTGTCCAACAAACTTATATAGGTGGGATGGCCAGATGTCCACAAAAGTTTGCACGAGTACCATATCTAACCAATTTCATTTACATATACCATATATAATATTTATGGGCAACTATAAAGCCTGTTGAACTATTGATATCAATAATACTGGGCGATGCAGCAAAGTATTGAAGGTTCCAAATAGCTTTTTCTCTCTAGTCTAAAAATGGGTGGATGATTGAGTCTCCTCCATGTAGCATCTTGAAGAGATCGGCTCCTCCCACAGTCACCTTGCTGTGCTGGGAGCCAAAATGTCTGCTTTGCCTGCAGTGCTGGTGATTCATTCATGATTACAGGATCGGTCCACCCAAAATGTACATTTCACTTTTTGGTAGATGCTGGAGAGTTAATCCACAAGGCAGTTCCTTACATCTCTCGGGGTTTCTGTTGGATCTCTGTGCTGAGTTTCCCGGTCTATACACTTGCGGTTACTCTTATGGAGGGTTCCCAGTCTTCATGCTGAATTATTTATTTATTTTATATTGTGGAGAATGTAACAGAAGGAGCTGGAGCATACAAAGGGCAGAAAGATCCAAAATGTTAGGTGGGCATGAGCCGAGTTTGGAATGCTGGCAGGGTGATTCTTCCTGATGGAGCATCTAAGACCTAGAAAATGCTAGGAGCTCCCTAGCCTACCAGGCTCCACCTGTACCTAAACAAACACCACTGGGTTGCCTGACCCTATGAGTGCCCCAATATAATGTAAACAATTTAAATAAGCTATATCCATTTATGACAGAAGTGTATGGGAAGTCCTAAAGAAAATACATTCTAGTTAAGATATAACTCCAGACAGATAGCTAACTATAAATATATACGGACTATTTTTCCAATGAAATGCTTACTTAAGTAACAAACATACACTTATGATCCATATACGTCTTCTGCCTTAGGTGGTTTCCTAAAAGGGTGACAACCCTTGTTAGTTCCTGCAACTCTGCAGACTCCTTGTCACCACCCCACCTCCCTTCTGCTCTGTCACTGCCTGCTGATATAGGCATCATCAGGCACACTGCTGATGCCTATAACAAACAACTTTCAAACCCACTTTCAGGAGCCGACTCAAGTCCCCCCCCCCCCCCCGTCCCCCGGTTTCCAAAGCA